GGTCCTCCCTTTTCCTCCATTAATCTCTTCCACCCCGCTGCTCTTGCTTTTGGTTATAGATTAGAGAGTGAGTGTAGCAGCTTTCACTGATTTTATTTCCATCGTAATTCGTACGAGCTCATGTTTCAAATGATTACTTTTACTGACTTTGGGGAAGAAAAGCAAGAAGAGTCACGCAGGGGTTACAGAACAGGCCGTGGAGCCAGCGCCCCGGGCAGCTGTTCAGTCGTAACCAGTACGGAGTTCACAGCCGGGGGAGCCTCGGAGGAATCCGCTGCGGAGTCGCAGGCTCGGGGCTGCCTTCCCTGGGCAACGTCCTTGCAGGGCAACGGCTGACACTGCGGAATGTGGAAGGGCAACATTGTATCCCCCGCTACTGTTTACAAAGTTACCAGGAAAGCAAATATTGTGACTACCTGACTGATGACTCCTGCAGGGAAAACTTAAAAGGGAATGAACATACCTTTGTTCTCTGCACCTGTGGAAAGGCCTTCCTTCTATTGATGCAATTCTCAGAGATACCCCTGGCCTCGTCTCCTCAGAACATGGGGTTTCTGCCCGGACACCTATTCTTTTTTAACTCAAATAAATGCCTGCCACCTCTCACAATGGCCTTCAATTTTAAGGTTAACAATGCGAGATGAAGTAAGCGGGAGAAAGACAAGGAAAGTATGATTTCACTTTTATATGGAACCTAAAAATAAAACAGAGCACAAAACAGAACACCCCTCACAGGAACAGTAGGTTGGCAATCTGGTGAAGGTCGTCAACGGGTGCAATGTTGAGTTCTAAGATGAGTAAGTTCTGGGGGTCTGACATACAGGGTGGTGACGACAGTTCACAATACTGTCTTGTGTACTTGCAAGTTGCTAAGAGGGTAGATCCTAAAAGTTCTGACCACAGGAAAAGTAACTATGGGAGGTGATGGATGTATTAAATAACTATTGTAGTAGTCATTTTGCAATGTATACTTATATAAATAACTAGAGGCCCAGTGCACGGAAATTCGTGCACTCAGGGGGGGTCCCTCAGCCCAGCCGGCATACTCTCACAGTCCGGGACCCCTCAGGGGATGTCCACCTGCCGGCTTAGACCCGCTCCCCGGGGGAGTGGGACTAAGCCACAGTCAGACATCCTTAGTGCTGCCAAGGAGGTGGGAGAGGCTCCCTCCACCCCGCTGCGCTCAAAGCCTTCAGCCGAGCTTACGGCTGAGCGGAGCTCCCCCTGTGGAAGCGCACTGACCACGAGCAGGCAGCTCTTGCATTGAGCGTCTGCCCCCTGGTGGTCAGTGCACATCATAGCAACCAGTCGTTCCTGGTAGTTCTGCCCTTGGGGTCAATTTGCATATTACCCTTTTATTAGGCTCCCTCCACCCCGCTGCGCTCAAAGCCTTCAGCCGAGCTTACGGCTGAGCGGAGCTCCCCCTGTGGAAGCGCACTGACCACGAGCAGGCAGCTCTTGCATTGAGCGTCTGCCCCCTGGTGGTCAGTGCACATCATAGCAACCAGTCGTTCCTGGTAGTTCTGCCCTTGGGGTCAATTTGCATATTACCCTTTTATTATATAGAGTAGAGGCCTGGTGCATGGGAGGGGGCTGGCTGGTTTGCCCTGAAGGGTGTCCCAGATCAGGGTGGGGGTCTCACTGGGGTGCCGAATGGCACGCCCAGCCAATCAGCGTGCCGCAGGCCGAGATGCCCCGCCTTCGCGAGGCTGCGCGTCCAATAGAGAGGAGCCTGGCCTCTGGGGCTTGTCAATGGGCGACAGCCATAGAGTAGAGCTAGAGCGCTAGAGCGCCCCGAAGGCCCTGCCCCTCGTCTTTTTCCGGCTTCCCCTGTCTCAACTCTTCCCGGAAACCGTCCCGCGCCCGGACTTCCGGGAGCGTGTGAGGCGGCAAGAGTGCAGGGCTTGGAGTTTCAGTCCCGGTGAGGGGAGTTCGTTCTGGCTTTTGTTTTTGTTTTTTAAATCTTTATTGTTGAAAGTATTACCTAGGTCCTCCCTTTTCCTCCATTAATCTCTTCCACCCCGCTGCTCTTGCTTTTGGTTATAGTGAGTGTAGCAGCTTTCACTGATTTTATTTCCATCGTAATTCGTACGAGCTCATGTTTCAAATGATTACTTTTACTGACTTTGGGGAAGAAAAGCAAGAAGAGTCAGGCAGGGGTTACAGAACAGGCCGTGGAGCCAGCGTCCCGGGCAGCTGTTCAGTCGTAACCAGTACGGAGTTCACAGCCGGGGGAGCCTCGGAGGAATCCGCTGCGGAGTCGCAGGCTCGGGGCTGCCTTTTTTTTTTTTTTTCTTGGCTTTACTCAGCTTTAGTTCTGAGGCTCCAGCTCTTAGGCCTCCGCCACTGAAAGCAGGTTTCTGGCCTTTGTTTACCTTATGCATTTGAACCAATGTTGCAATCCTGCTGGCTAAAGCCCGGCCGACTAAAGCAGGTTTCTGGGGTTTTGTTTAGCTTCTATATTTGTAACATAGTTGCTTAGAGATGCAGCTCAGAGGCCGGCAGCGGCAGGCGAGGAATGTTGGAGTCCTCCGTCACTGAAGCAAGCAAGCCTCATGTTCACTTTAAGCTGCCTGGCTGCCGGCCACCATCTTGGCTGGCAGTTAATTTGCATATCGCCCTGATTAGCCAATGGGAAGGGTAGCGGATGTACTGCTAATTACCATGTTTCTCTTTTATTAGATAGGATCATTGTACACCTCAAAGCTATACAATGTTATATGTCAATTATCTATATATAAAAGGCTAATATGCAAAGTGTCGTCTCTGAGTTTGGGAGACTGGAGTTCAATCACTCGCTATGATGTGCGCTGACCACCAGGGGGCAGCGCGGAATGAAGGAAGGCCCCGGCCAGCAGCTGGAAGACCCCGATCGGCCCTGATCACCAGCCAGGCCTAGGGACCATACCTGTGCACAAATTTCATGCACCAGGACTCTAGTCCTATATAATAAAAGGCTAATATGCAAATTGACCGAATGGCAGTACAACTGGTTGCTATAATACGCACTGACCTCCAGGGGGCATATGCTCAACACAGGAGCTGCCCCCTGGTGGTCAGTGGCTCCCACAAGGGGTGCACCTCTCAGCCAGAAGCCGGACTCATGGCTGGCAAGCGCAGTGGTTGTGGCAGGAGTCTCTCTTGCCTCCGCAGCAGTGATAAGGATGTCCAACTGCCCGTGTAGGCCCGCTCCCCAGGCCTAAGTCACCAGTCAGACATCCCCCAAGGGCTCCCAGACTGTGAGAGGGTGCAGGCTGGGCTGAGGGACCCCCCCGACCCAAATGCATGAATTTCATGCACCGGGCCTCTAGTATTTCAATAAAGCTAGGGTGAAACAATATTAAATTTTTAAAAACATATTAGGAAGTGGCAATAAAATAATTTTCCCTTGATGACTACTTGGATCCTTTTTAGAGAAATATTAACCCTAGCTGGTTTGGCTCAGTGGAATCCTGTAGAGGTGCACCAATGTTCCTTTTTCTCTGTCTCTTCCCCTCCCTTCCACTTTCTCTAAAAATCAATGGAAAAAATATCCCCGGGTGAGAATTAATAAAAAAAGAAAGAAAGAAATATTAAATTCCAGGCAAATACAAACTTTACTGGTTCCCCAGGCTCAGTGCCATCAGGTAATGCCAAACCGCTTATATCTTAAAAATATACAAAGACTCACTTTTGTTTGTCCACTTATATAAAATTGTGAGCTGGATGAAGTAGTCCAGGGCAGTTAGTGGTTATCAGGTGGTTGCCAGGCGCAGGACGCCTGTCTGCTCTGGATCATGTTTTTATGCCTAGTAGGTGATGAAGACTTCCCCAATCTGGGTTTCTACTGGATTGTAAATTTCATGAGCCCAGGGCCATGTCGGTCTGAGTCTCTGCTGTAAACCTTGTGGCAGGCAGTTAATATTAGGAATTAAGAAGACCCTGTAGCTTAAATGAGGTTGTATCCTTGCAATTGACAGGGCCCCAAACTCAATCAAGACAACAAGGAGTGTGTTATCCGAAGAGGGGATGGTCTGACTGGTACCTCCAAAAGAAGAGGTTAAAAAAAAAAATTCTGAAACAACTCACCATGTTAAAATAAAAAAAGATCAGGGAGTCAGACAGGAGAGTCCCCAGACCTCCTGGTAGAGGGAGCCTGCCATCTGGGCTCAGGGGAGGTGGAGGTGGAGGCCATGGGCTTTTAGTACTCACCTTTACTAGTAATTAACATAATCTACTCACCTTGTGCTTTGCGTTCCTTTAAGTTGTCCTTACTGTGTATGCAAACTACCCCCAACTCAGAGGCTTGAGACCTGTTTTCAATCCTTTTATTGCTCACAGTTTGGCTCGGTGGGGATGATGCTAGGGTAGCTGAGTGGCTGCTGGGGTGCAGCATGGCCTCCCCTATCTGGGGCCTTGGTGCTGACTGCAGGCTGGGGTGCCTTGGCTCCCCTCCACATGGCCTCAC